ATATTATATAAATAATAATATAAATTTTTAATACAATTTTTTAAATATAAACTTAAAAATACAATTATTTTTTTATATGAACTAATATTAAAAAAATAAAAATTAATTTTTATTTAAACAACTCTTTAACTAAAATGATTCTCATAATATTATTGATAAAATTAATAATAATTTTTATATTTTTTAATAGTAATTAATATTTTCAAAATACAATAATTTCATTCTTAACTAAGAACACATGTTAAAAAAATTTAAATAAAATAAAATTACTAAGTTAAAGTTTATATACAAAATAAATTTTGAATTATTATTTATTTATTATAAAAATATACTATTTAAAATATATGTATAGACAGGTAAAATAAGCGGTAATATAAAATCAAAGACATATGAATGATGGTTAGGCCGTTTCTTTTCTTTTCTTTTTTCTTCTTTTTTTTGAACAAGGGGAATGGGGGTAGAAGAGGGGGGAATAAGAATAAGAAGAATCAAACTCTAATAGTGTGGATAAAATAAAAGCCTATACAGCAACATCTGGTCATTGGTTAGGCCTTTTACCGCACGTTTGGAGCATCGGAGACAATGCAGGATAGGACTAAGTTTTTGTCCAGTCTTGCTATTTCCCATGTTTGGTGGAATGAAGGGATGGGACACGCATCATCCTACATTTTATCCAATCCTGATCTCTCTTGATAAAATGTATCCCACCTCCCCATGGGATTAGGTGTGGGATAAGACTGAATTTTCATATTTTACCCCTTCTTTTTCACCCATTGATTTTCTCCTCTCATGTACATGATGCCTGTACATCGACGTCGATTTCGACTTTGCTTTGTTTCATTAATTTTGAAAATGCATTTTTCATCATCTGTTGTCAATCTCCTCCGTTCTTGTAAATTTCGATCATTTATTTTATCTTCCGCCATGGATCTCTTTGTAAATATTCTGTTATCCCTTTTTTCTTCTTTCATCATTGATTTCTTTAGTCTCCGATCATCCCCTTTCCTTTTCTTTTTCTCTTAAAATTAATAAAGAAACCCAAATTTATTCCACTCTTTTTTTTTCACTCAAAAGGCACTTGAATCTCAAATTTCAATTTTATTCGATTGACACCGATGTTGTCCTCTGTTTATATACATTCCAGTGAATCTAAAAAATATATATATCTTTATTTTCTCTTTTATCTATGTTGAGATCTACCAATTTGCTTCTCAGACAAAATATTAGAGTTAGGAAGAAAACCCTAGTTTGCAAAGGGAAAGAAGAACCTGTAAAATACTAGAGAGGTTGAGAAAATGGAAGAAAATATATTTAAGATGTCAATAGCTGTTTGGGAGCAGAGAAAATGAAATAGAAAATTGCAAGAAAATTTTGAAGGATTTTAGTAAGTTTTTCCTTTTTAATAAATAAATTGAATTGGAATAATAGGGGTATTTTTATTAATAAATAAATATTTTAAGTCAATTTTATATCTAATCTCATAAACTCCAAACATATGATTAGACTTTTAAATAATCCAATCTAGATCAATCCAATCCAATCCAATCCTAGTATTTAAATCCTACCTCATCCAATCCTAACCCATGCTTCAAACGTGCCCTTAAGTTCTGTCAGTTAGGCATGAAAGATGGAAACATAACCATTTCTTCTTTAGGAACATTGTGGAATTTTGGGAAAAGGGGTTTGTTTATAAAGTAAAAGTAACTCATGCGAGTCGGAATTGTGACCAATCACGATGTAGGTGTACTTTTTCAGCCAAACCGAGGCCACAACTGTCCATTGCTAATTATTTCACTCTCGAACTTCTACTTTTTATTATTATCAATCATTGTTTCATTTAAAAAAAAAGTTAAATAAAGTATCATCTTATTAGAACCTTTTTTTCCGTTGGAAAAAGAAGTTTTAAGAAAATAACAAAAGAAAGAAATATTTTAAAAATACATGCAG